TCAAACACCATTGCATAATCAATGAAACACAGATAGACATTTCTCTGGTATTCCCTGCTTTCAGCTAAGATCCATCTAACATCAGCTACAATATCCCTATTACCATGACCCCTTCTAAACCCAGCCTGGACTTCTGGCAGTTCTCTGTTGATGTGCTGTCCAGTCGTTTTGGGATAATTTTCAGCACAATCTTGCTTGCATGTGATATCAATGATCTCATTCGATAATTTCCACACTCTGTTGAGTTACCTTTCTTTGGAATGGGAATAAATATAGATCTCAATTTGTTGACCTCCAGATTTCCTGGCACAACTTGGTGAGCACATCTAGGGCAGGCAGCATCTGTTAGTTGAAATACGTCAATCAGTATAACATCTATTCCTGGGGCCTTATTTTTGCTAATTCCTTCAAATAACTTGAACTTCTTCCTTCATCACCATAGGTTCTTGCTCATATGTTGTTTCATGATATTCTTCTGTGTCTGCCAATTCCTTTCAGTACAGTGACTCTGTATACACTTTCCATCTTGATAGATCTAGAAAATATTAAAAGTTATCAACTATTTCATCTTGCTTGGATACACAAACAAGACCTTTGGTATCATCAATCAAAAATCAAAAGACAAGTTTCATTGAGAAAATATGCTGTCAGGGACCTCTCTGGAGTATTGAAGAGCAATGGTGTCAGCTTAAATACTAAAGTGTGCCTAATCCAAACCATAGTTTTCTCAGTTACTTTTATCTAGAGTTGAAACATATCTGAAAGTTGGAGAATGACAAAAGACGTCAGAAGAAAAATTGATACCTTTAAGTTGTGGTGTTAGAGAATAGTACTGAATATTCCATGGACTGCCAGAGAATAAAGAAGTCTTGGAAAAAGTGAAAACAGATTGCTCCTTGGAAGTAATAATGGTTGAATTTAATTTTACATACTTTGTATATTTTGTTAGGAGGGGCCAGTCCTTGGAGAAAGGCATTGTGCTTAGAAAGGTGGAAGGTCAGTGCAAAAGAGGAAGACCCTCAACAAGATAGATTGACACAGTGACTTTGAAGTGACACAGGAGCAATGGACTCAAGTGAATATTCACGTTTTGCTCTGAAGCTTATCAGTCTTTGGTCTTTTACCAAGGATTTCTGGAAATTTATCTATTATGCAATTTATCAGCAATAAAGTGTGTTGATGATGAGGACAGCACAGGAGAAGGCACATTTCAGATCCATTGTTGATATATATTTATTTTTTCCATATACTATTCCATCTCTCTCCCTCTCTCTATATATATATATATATAGAGAGAGAGAGAGAGAGAACATATATAATGTTGCATCAGGATTGGAGGTGACTCCTCAACAACCTGCTTTATGCAGATGACACAACCTGCTTGCTGAAACTGAGGAGGACCTGAAGTGCTTGCTGCAGAAGATTGATTGAAGCTCAACATCAAGAAAAAAAATTATTCTCATCACTGGGCAAATTGACAGCGTCATTACAGATGGTGAAGAGATTGAGATTGTTGACAGCTTTAGATTTCTTGACTCCCCAATCAACACTCTTGGTATCAGCAGGCAGGAAACTAAAAGAAGAATTGCATTGGGAAAGTCTGCTGTCAGGCACCTCTCCAAAATACAATGATGTCAATCTGGAGACTAAGGTGCACCTGATCCAGGCCATAGTCTTTGCAATTACTTGCTATGCATCAGAAAGCTGTACAATGACTAGGGATGATAGAAGGAGAATTGATGTCTATGAGCTGCGGTGCTGGAAATGAGTACTGAATATACTATGGACTGCTAGGAGAACAAACAGGTTAATCCTAGAGAGGGTGAGACCAAGCTTCTCCTTGGAAGCAAGGATTCTGAAGCTCCATATGACATACTTTGGACATGTTGCAAGGTGGGTCCAGTCCTTGGAGAGGAACATCATTCTTGGGAGAGTGGAGAGACAGTGCAAGAGAGGAAGACCCTCGATGAGATGGATTGATTCAGTGACGGGGTAATGCAGGTAGGTGTGTCAGAGCCAATAAGATTGGCACAAGCTAGAGCAGGGTTTAGGGCTGTTGTACATAGGGTCGCTATGAGTCACAGGCAACTCGACAACACGTAACAACAGCATAATATATATATATATTATATAATATATATATTATGCTCTCCATAGTGCTGAAGAACAACTATGTCAGTCTAGAGACAAAGGTGCGCCTAACTCAGGCCATGGTCTTCTCAATTACTTGTTATGCTTCAGAGAGCTGGACAGTAACTAAAGATAATAGAAGAAGAATAGATGCCTTCGAGTGTTGGTTCTGGAGAATAGTCTTGAACATACTGTGGACTGCCAAGAAAACACATTGGTCTGTCTTGGAGAGGGTGAAACCAAGTCTCTCCTTAGAGGCTAAGATTTTGAAGCTGTGACTCACTTAATTTGGGCACGTGGCCAGGAGAGACTGGTCCTTGGAGAAGGACATCATGCTTTGAAGGGTGGAGGGACAGAAAAGGAGAGGAAGACCTCGGATGAGATGGAATGATATAGTATCTGGGGCAATGGGGGTTGATGTGTCAAAATTAGTGAGACTGGCTCAGGACAGGGAAGGAAGGGTTCAGAGCTGCTGTACCTAGGGTTGCTGTACATCACAGGCAACTCAAAAGCACATAGCATACTGTTGTTGTTGTTGTTATGTGCCGTCGAGTCGTTTGTGACTCACAGCGACCCTATGTACAACAGCCCTAAACCCTGCTCTATCCTGTGCCAATCGCATGGCCCCTGACACACCCATCCCAATT